GATGAAGAGCTTGCCAATCTCACACAAAAGCAATTAAAATTACATGTAGCCAAAGCTGTTAAAAAAGCGGTGAAGTCGCATCACAGATGTTCTATTTGCAATAAAACTGGACATAATTCTCGCAATTGTCCTAAAAATAAAAAAAAGAGCAGGTCTAAAAATAAATCCAAAAAGAAAGGTAAAGTCAATATCGCTACTGTAGATTCAAGTTCTGAATCAGGTTCAGATTCTAACACTTCTAATAATGAATCCGATTCTGGCTCTGAATCTGGATCTGATTCTGGAGAATCCTCAGTTGAATCTGAATCTGAAAGTGACGTTAAGGTTCATATTACTAAAGTAAAAAAAAAGTAAAGCGTAAGAGCAACTTTACAAAATCACCATCTAGAAAGAAATCAAAGCAACCCAAAATCAAAAAAGAGGAACGAGATGGAAACCCATCCAAGCCCTGCAAGGAGAACCAGAAAGAGACCTCCACTTCTAGTAAGTTCCAAAATAAATCAACTATTCTTGAACAGAATATTCGGCGAATTTTGTTAGATATGCTTGAAAAGGTTTTACTTCCACACCAGTTGGAAAAACTTAAACCTGAAAATAAAAACTTAACTATTCCAGATTTCATAAACCATCGAGAGCTGGTTCCAAAAATTCCTGAATCGGATGGGGAAGAGGAGACGTTGGATGATCCTATGGAGATTGATTTTGTAAAAAAGGAAGATCCCAATACAAGTATTGCAACTATACCAGTTAAAATCAAGCGCTTAAAAATTCCAGCAATGGTGATTGATAGTGGAGCTGAACCTGCAATTATATCAGAAGATATTGTTAAACGTGTAGGTGGAAAGATTGATAAATCAGTAATATATGATCTCAGTGGGGCCGCCACCATTCCAACGGAATCTATTGGTATCACCCGTAATTTACCAATAACATTTCCTCCAGGTTTTACCATACGTGAAGATTATATAGTTGTGAGAACTCCTAAACCAATATTATTATTTCCAAATCCACACCTTAAAAAATACAAATGTGCTATGGATTGGGACAAAGATGAGTTAAAAATTCCTTTTAATGGAAAAGATCATATCATCCCTGTAACTATGATCAAGGTTAAGAACAAGCTCGAAGTAAATTGCGCTACTGCAACTCAGGGTGATAAGTCTCTGACATCCGATCAAATTTCACAGGAGACAAATAGGGATGAGGATAACAATGAACCATTGGAGGAATGGCATGCTCCTGCGGGTTTTAGCCTAGATTCTGATAATTCAACTTTAAAAAAAAATGCGTGAATTGTGAGAGGTATGAGGAAGAAATGTATAATGCAACTAAAATTATCACTAATCTTAATGCTCTCGTTCATTGCTACATTGGATTACCCAATAAAGAAAATAGAAAGTAGAATAGACAAACTTTAGAGTTTATAACTCGTCAATTT